TACAGTAGAGCGTCGTTTATCCGAATCAATTGGGGACTGGGGTTGTTCGGATAACTTATTTTTCGGATAACCAATTATGTACGAAAAAATATATTAATTTATCCCGTGTTGAAATTTTTCTCCGTTGCGTGTCGCTTCGCGTTGAATTTTCGTCGATGTTAAGCCTAACGAAGACTATTGTATCGTTAAAAATTACTTTTTTATTCTGTACAAACAAAATAAATATATTGAAAAATATAAAAACAATAAAAAATTATACTTAAGAAGTTAATTTAATATCAAAAACGTAACATATGTGAGTAGCCGAAGACATAGCCAAAGATTACAGCGCTACAGCACTGGCGAAAATTTAAATTTGTCGACTGGAATTCCTTCGGATAACCGACGTTTCGGATAAACGACGCTCTACTGTATTCTTTCTACATTATGATCGTGAATAGTTTTCCTATAGGCTAAATCATAGACCATTTATACCAATAATAAATAAGAATGTTTTTTTCCAATAGATATTATAGTCGAAGAAGGAAATGCTTACGTAGACAATCTTCTACAATCAGCATTGAAGAATCAAGAATTAGTAACTTTGCAACTACCTGACCATGACATTTCCATCGCTCGTAAATTCTTACATGTAGCAGAAATTTTGTTAAGAGAAGGCAAAATCTTCGGATTACCTAATATATCAAGAAATGATGATGTACAGATAGCAGAAGAAGAAAATTCAACTTTAATTATTTCTAATTTAAATCTTAATGATATTGAACTACGATATCAAGTTAATTTTACATTTTTTAGGTTTAAATTGAAACCTATTAATATTACTGGTTTTATGGATAATAAAAAAGTTATTTTGAAACTTCGAATAAATAAAGAAACTAGGGAATTATCTGTTGTTAATCTATTAGTGTCGAAATTAAGTGGTTTTCGAATAAATTTCAAAATATTTGGTAATGCATTTAGATGGCTATCTAATGCATTTAGATCAATGGTCATAAATATATTAAAAAATGATATTACTTCTTTGGTTCAACGCAAATTAAGAGAGGTTTTTGAAAAAGAAGCTGAAAGAAAACATGACATATTTTAGCTAACTTCTTCCACATCAACTTAAATTATTTTTAAAATGTCATTCATTAATAACTATATTAAAGATTACACAAAACATTTTCAAAAGTATGTATCTAAGATTGTTGGTTCATATGTAAATGTTTATTAAATTTTTTCTATGTAGTTTTTTCTTTTTATTTACTTAGTAAATTAAATTTACAAGATATCACATAATTTCCAGGTAATTTTTCGGAAAAATGGACATGTAATTTTAAAATAATATATTAAACTTATATTAATTGTATACTACATGTTATTATTTGGAGTAAAGTTATATAAAAGTGTGATTTAATAATAATAATAATTTTCTTTATAATTACCACATACAGTACTTTAAAAAATCTCACTTTTTATACGACATTTGTAAAAACTGGCATTATAGACAAAATCGCTGTTTAACCAGAACACGATATTTTATTTAAGGTATTTGGGCTGCAATTAGAAATAATTGTAGCCCTATAAATTCCCACTGCCCTCTGTCTGTCCGTCTGACTGTTTTTCTTTAATCTCTAGAACGGAGTTAGATAGAAGAAGGAAAAGCCAAGATACGGAAATCTTTGGGGCAGGAGGCCCCGATTAACTATATACGAACTTCTAATGTAAATCGGATGTCACGTTATTTCAATTTAAATCTTTTCTCCTGAAAGCAGATAATAGATGACCGGTACTACTCTATTGTTAAAGTAAAAGTATGATGTACAGGGACAAGCCACTAATTTGAGGTGATGGAATATATTTTAAATTAAATAAATTTAAAATATGATTAAAAATTGCAGTCATTGTGACAATGTCACAATAAATAATTACCTTTTCATTCATTTCCTAACGATTGTGATCCTATCCGAAAGTAGTCCTCCCGCGTTATTTCCGATAATTGACTCTCTGCTGTGACCTTCTATAAACGTCATTTATTAAGTTACCGCTTTGGAATAATAATAGATTGTCGGTATAAACCACCTCTACGTGTTCAAGCTCCGGGTCTAAAATCCCTCCTTTTCGTTAGTCCTGCTTATAAGAGTAACAGCTTTTACAATATGGTCGAAATTTTGATACCTCAATTATTATACTAAATTAATTTGATTTTTACAAGATGAGAAAGTCCCTAAGCACGAGCCCAAAACAAGGGCCCAGCTTGTTCGGTGCTAAGGGTGGAACTGCTCAGATGTGCGTATATAATTAATACTAGTATTAAATTACAATTATATTTAAATACAAAAATATATTACCAAATTTGCGAGGCCCTAGACATTGTATTCCTTTCGCCTTCACATAGAGCAATCTATCATTTCGTAGTGAATCTAAATACTTGTCCTGACTGACTGACTGAGTGATTGATTATCGCCCAGAGCAAACCGCTGAATCTAAAGAGGTGAAATTTTGTACACCGTTAGGATACGTCATGAAAACGCCCAATAAGAAGGGATTTTTCGAAATTCCCTTGCGGGGGAGAGAGAAAGGATTAAGGCTTAACCCGAAGAACGGCTTATACTGTAGTCTACTATTTTACATGCGATTTTTTGTTTTCAACTATGTTTAGTCTTCGTTGAGTACTTAGGTGTATTAAATTAATAACATTTCAGACATTGTTATAAATATTTTTATATATTTCGATTTTTTAACCAAATGTTCGAACCGTTTTAAATTCGAATTTGTTATTGCATATTAGTTCGATTATAGAACGATTGTAAACGTTCCAGAAAATTGATCAAATTGAAAACAGTTCGTTTGATTCTCGGCAATTCTCATCATTCTCAGCAGTAGGTGTTATATAACAATTACTATGGTTGTTGAAATACTGAATATAAATGAGGTTTGCTTGCTTAATCTGCGCGGGTAAAGTCGCGGGTAACAGCTAGTTTTATCATATAACTGCATTAAAACAATTACATTTTATAAAAATGTGCATTTCTCTCCGTGCAATCAGGTATTTCTAAAACACTACAGTATTTCATAGATGTTTTATTCATACGAACGAATTTACAATTTCTTACGTGAATTATCAATATCAAATATATCTCTGCATAAGAATCCTTCATCATTATGTAAATCGAAGACAACAGTATACAAAATGGTTTACAGAAGCAATAAAATTAATTTTAATTATTCATTTTATGATTTTTAATCATATCTTATCATTATTTAACTAATAACAGATATTATTACGAAATTTTAAACACATGTTATTTTCTTGGAATTTCTAAAACTGATAAACTAAGAATCATATGTCTAATTCACATCTGCTTATATATATACCATTTCATTCCATTATTATTTAATTAAACCCTTATTTCTTAAAATTAATCTTCTGAAAGTAGTAAGAAGGTAAGTTTTAATTATTGTATATAACACTTAAATCGATTCATATAGTATCTTTAAATTACCGAAAACAAATGCAGCATTTAATTAGTTTTGTTATAATTTTAAATACAAATAGAATAATACAAACGATTTTAAGATTAGATCAGATAAGGTAATACTCTCTACTAAACAAAATAAATCCATTTACTTACAAAACTTTGATAGTAAATTACTCATCAATTTAGCAAATCAATTTATATCACAGAGCGATCACGAAAAGTTTCTGGCATTCTTCGTCCATATTCGATCCCACATCCATCAGTATAATAGGCTGATGTTTCTGCAGTTTTGAAAGTCATGTAATATTTTGATATAAAAGACAGAATAATGAAGAAAATAAGATATAAATATTCTATTAAATCATTTCATTACTTAATGCATTTCAAAAGAATATAAAACATTTATATCAGTGGTATTCGAACCGTATTTCGCAGAAACCCCAGGTTTTCGCAAAGATATTTATAAGAAATTTTCATTTTAATTTAAAATGTTTAAAATTAAAAATTTGTAAACTATACCTTAACTTAAAAAGCTATATTAAGTATAAAAGCAAAACAGCATTGAAGTCTTTTTTCACACGAAATTTTTTTTATTTCTTTAAACTTTATTGCTTAACGTCAAGAAAAATAATACAACATGAAAATTCATTAGATGTTAACAGTTTAAATACTGCTGCTTTAGATAATTAATATTATAAGAACTTCAAGATATTTCAAATTAAACATTTTCATGTAGCAATTAATTAAAGTCGACCCCCCCCTATAATTACGGTCCCTATAATTACGATTCCTATAAAACTACGAAAAAATATACGTATTTTGGAAATGTTGAGTCGGATTAGTGTAGAATCGATTAATTTTATGGAAGAAAACCTTTCAATCAGCCGTAGTCCGTAAACTTGACACGTGTCGGGCTGTGATTGGAACGACTTGTAAGAAATCGGATTCCTAATAAATTGGAACGTATCTATATCTTATAGGGGGGTCGACTGTATAATTATTTATATATAGCAATTTATTTCATGAATTAATAAATATATTTAAGTATTTATATTTCTTTTTCTTTCTAGATAGAGAAATGATTGAAATTATATTCCTTCTATTCGTTTGCCAAAATGTATTGGCAGGTATGTTATTCAAATTATTCAAAATTTAAAAGTGCTTAATTAATATGCTCTTCATCTAATTATTATTCTTATATTCAATGAATAATTCTCTAAATCTTTTTTAATAATAATTTTTGTTTACTATAAGCATTATATGAGATATCTACTCTTATATTCTTCTTAGTCATAGTCATAAATAATTTTCTTATGTCAACATATATCATTGTTGTCGATGTTAAGTAAGAATTTCTTGTTTTAGATATTACAGTCGAAGAAGGCAATGCTTACGTGGATAGTTTTATAAAATCGGCAGTAGAGAATGAAGAATTAGAAATGTTGGTACTCCCTGACCACGATATTCCCATCGTTAGAAAAGTCTTGTTTATTAGGACAGAAATTTTGTTAAGAGAAGGCCAGATCTACGGGTTATCTCATATATCAAGATATGACGATGTCCAGATAGATGAAGGAAATAGAACTTTAATTACTTGTAACTTAGATCTCAAAGATCTTGAAGTACGATATAAAGTTAGATTTATATTTCTTAATTCCGAACAGAAACCTATCAATATTACTGGTTTAATGAATAATAACAAGGTTATTTTGAAACTTCTAGTAAATAAAGAAAATAGGGAAGTATCTGTTGATAGTTTGTATATGTCAAAATTAAGTGGTTTTCGAGTAATTTTAAAAGACATTGGTAGTATATTTAAATGGTTAGCAAATGCATTTAATTCAGTAGTTATAAATATATTAAAAAAAGATATTACTTCGTTGGTTCAGGACCATTTAAGAGAGGCTTTTGAAAAGGAAGCTGAAAGAAGAAATGACATGTTTTAGCAAAGTTTATCCATTTCGAGATTGATTTAAATTACAATATAAAAGAAAATGTCATTAAAAAACTATATATTATTAATAATTCGATTTTAAAAGTATGTATCTAAGGTTGTTGGTTCAAATGTAAATGTTTAAAGAAATCACATAATTTTAATATAATTTTCTGAAAGAAATGACATTAATTTAAAGATGTTATGTTAAGCTTATGTTAATTGTATATGACATATTATGACTCGAAGTATAGAGCTGTATATAAATGTGTAATGCGATTGAATAATAATAATAATAATGATAAAGATGCCATACTAGTCAATAAATTCTTAAACAACATAAAGATTACAGTATATTTTAAAATACGTGCTGTCTCAGAAAGATGGACATACGGAAAAACTGTAAATGCAAAAAAATCAAAGATCTCTTAATTACATTCTTGCCTGAGTGTAACAAGGATAGATTTATTTCCTATAAATCGGCATATAATGTTTATTGTTATGCATTCCAAGGAAGTGTTCTTTAAATTTACTTAATATTTTGTTAAACTTTTTCTAATATTTTAAGATTTTCAATTTTAAAGAATTGATACTTTCCTATTGAATAAAAATACTGTGCTTTTCATAGAAGTCAACGTGTTAATTAATAAGTTTATTGTAATCTTGCGAGTTATTATTCACTCAACACTGTAAAACTTCTATTATTTCCCTGAGTTTCATTCATCTTCAAACATTTGTAAAATAAAATAAATATCGCGAAAATGACGTTTAAAGGAAAGAAAGTGGTTGTTACGTTGGAGAAGAAACTAAGATATAAAATAAAAAGTCTATAAACTTTTAAAAATAATTTCTTTAAGATTAGACATGAGATTTTACAAAATTCAATATTGAGATATAGCAAATGCTCTATTGATGAGATAGTTATATTAATTTAAAAGAATAATTTTAACATGTATTTGCATAGAATATTGATGCATATCAAAATCGTATTGTGTTTCGAACAAACATTTACATGTTTTTTTTAATGTATAAGTTAACAAAGATTTTTTAAAAATGTGAAATTTTACACAAACTCCTGTGATCAAAAAAGTATCGAGAATAGTTCAATATAACGCAAGATTTGAATTTATTCATCAAACTTTATTTCGTTCCCTTCAAAGTAACCCCCACCCACTATAATGCACTTATACTAAAGTTTTTCCAATCCTCGAAACATTCTTTAAAGTCGTTTTCGTGAAACCTTTCAGGACTCGCAGCGAATTTTGTTTTTTGGCATCAATCGACTCAAAACGGTGACCACGAAATGGAAATTTTAGTCGAGGAAACAAGAAAAAGTCACATAGAGCCAAACCTGGTAAATACGGTGCTTGCAAAACCGTATTTGTTTTTTGGCCAAAACTTCACTGACAACAAGAGCATTGTAAACAGGTGTATTATTGTGCAAAATCCATTTGTTTTCTCGCCACAAGTTAGACTGTTTTATACGAATTGCTTCACACAAACGATGCAAAACACTCATATAGTATACTCTGTTGACAATTTGGATAGTCGGAAAGAATTCATGATGAACAACACCAATCGAATTAATTAAACAATCAACATGACCTTGATTTTTGACTGAATTTGATATGGTCTTTTCGGTTTTGCTTCGTCTTTCGAGCTTCACCTACTTCATTATTCAGCTTTTCGGAAGCGTAGATCCATGTTTCGTCGTCCGTAGTAATGCATTTTAAGAACGAATTGTCTCGAGAAAGCATTTCCTTGGCCACTCGAACACATTATTATTTTTGTCTCCGCCTGCCATATAGTGAGCATAATTATCTTTAAAAATATCTATGAGTGCCGGAAACAGGAAACTAAGTTTTAATAAAATTAGTTCTCTGCTTTCAAAAAAATATGTTTTCTTGTATAATCTAAAAATTGTCGTTATTCTTTCTTTGTTGTATTCGAGTGGATTAGGTTGATGGGATAAGGCAACGTAGTATTTGGGCATTCTGCCAAAGGAGATTCTGTGAAAAAGTATCTCATATTTAGGTGTTAAACACGTACCGAAAAACCGCACAATTCCACATGATTAGCCCACTGATCAGATTAAACGCGTGACCAAACTACCAATGTTCAATGATTTTATCAAACATTCAGTTTAATACGGCTGGAGAACACGGCGCCCAGTTTTTAAGTGAAATGTAATTTATGAGAAAATCGTATAAGCTGTGTTTTTTCGTTTTCATGGAAAGCGCTCAACCGGGTGATTCATTACCATTCCTGTGCGTCTGCTAAGCGCTAAGTAATTTTGATGTCTGCCTGAAGTTTTCATTCATATAAAAAAACATATATATATATTTCTATTTGGAAGTCTTAAGCTTAATATTTCAAGTACAAGTACTATTTTACTTATAGATTTAATTATAATACAACTGATTATGAGAAGCTATTTTAATAAAAATATGATTATGAACGTTTTTATAGTTCTTTAAAATATTTATTTTAAATATACAATGTAATAATATTCTACTTATAAAATATTTAACTTACACAATTTTATTTTTGATTTGTTAATAAAATAAAATTTATTTTCAAGTAAACACAGGAAATATGATCATAGTAATACTGTTTCGTTACTTATCAGTTGGAATAAGACCTTCGATGATTTCTCGAACTTCCGGCTTCTTTAATTCTTTATTTACTTCGTTAATAAGCGCTTTTTCAATTAAATCTGTAATTTCTGGTTTAAAATGATCAAATAATCCTTTGCCTATTATAGGAATTACTTTCTGAATTGTCTTAGAGAAACTACCACCATCTAATAAATTTTCAAAATCTAGCTTTAACTTTCCCCAATTTAAATAAAGTTTCAATTGATGAAATCGGAGACCATCATTATCTAAAATCATTTTTCCAGTTCCATCTAACTTAGCATCGGTTACATCAATTTTATATTTTCCATTTCCACGTAAAGGAAAAATTTTCATAATAGTACCGTTAAGATTGTAATTTCCATTCACCAATAAATAAGGCAATTGCAAATGGACATTAACGTAAAGTTTATCTAAGCTAGCTTTTAATTCATGGATCTGAAATTCAGACAAGCCGGATATTATAATCTGAAAAACACATATAATATTTAATGATAAATTAAACAAATTTTCTTATAAGATATTAATTAATAATAAGAAGAATTAATTATTCATAACGATTGCGTACCTGATGAAAATCCAGTTTTACATTCGCAGTTTTTTCATTAACATTAATTTTGATGTTGTAGAGTTTTAATGGATCTAAAGAAGGCACTTTAATTTCTGAAATACCTTCTTTCATTTGATTTCGAAAGTTATTTAAAACTTCATGCAAGTATTTTTCGAAATCGGGATCACTGGGATTACGTTTTACAATTAAAGCTGAAAAATAAATTTTAAAAAGTTACATAAAATTAATAATTGTCTTATATTAAAATTTATTACATATTTCATCTTATAGAATTTTTATAATTAATTTTTACCTGGAGTTAAAGTGCTGAAAGCCAATTGAAAAAATAATAATAAAAGTAGCATCTAAAATATTATAAAAACTCATTTATAATTTTAAACAATATTAAATATTCGAATTTGGTTCTATAAACGCTTACCTCGATCACTGTAATTTAAAACTTGACAACAGTGTGAACAGTTGTTGTGTGATAAACATATGAACGTAAGAACTGTTCCCGCAAATTATCTGAAATTTTTATCTTTTATTGCATTTGTACATTCTAGTTAAAATCAGGCTGTGGGGTCGCGCAAAAATCTACCGACTCCAACTCCGACTCCGACCAGGGGAGGATTTGTTACCGAAAGAGACCCGGAAATTCTGAGGTCATCATGTGACCTCAGAATAAAAGATTCAATAGAGTTCTAATAAAGATAGAGCGTAGAAATTTTTTATTCCAAAGCTAAAAGACTTCTCTAAGTAATATATGTATTCGATAATTTTTACTTTTCCGGCTGTTATATATAACAGAGGAAAAGTGTAGAGCTCTCTCAAAAAATGACCCCTCCCAAATTGTTACATTTTTGGACTCGGAACACCTTGAAATTTCGAGATATGCAAAAGATTCGAGGTTTTTTCTATATGCACGGATGTTAGACTGTATGGGGGGCATGATTTCGTTCACCCTGTTTGAAGCCTAATAATTTCTGTGGTCAGGGTGGTCAGAATCGGAGTCAAATGGTTTAAACACAGGAGTTAGTTATTAGTGGTTGAACTAAATCGTGTCCCCATATACATTCTAATATCGTAGGCGAGAACATCTTAATGGGTTTTACTGTACTATTATAAAATGGCTAAAAAGCATACTTTGAGGGTAGAGACGAGTTTTATTTTATTTATTTATTTTTTTAATTTTAAATGCTAATAACGAGTAAAATATTCATTAAGAAATATGACATATGACCATTTTTATGTCTTCACCCTGTCGACCTTTAATTAAGAACCAAAATTTAATAGTATTAATGCCACTTTATACGCAAGCTACAGTGCCACGTTTCGTTTCTTAAACTTTACCCATTTTGAAATATTGTTTAATATCTCAGAACAGAAAATAAAGAAATTAAACAAATTAGATGCCAACACACACACACACACGCTCGCGAATTTTTCCCCTTTACTGACTTTTTTGAGGGGTTCGGGAGGTCTCCAAACGTGTAGATTTGCAAAAAAAAAAAAAAAAAAAAACTTGGAGGGTTAAATTTAACACGATTCCAATACTTTTCCGTTTTATATACATAACAAGTTGGTAAGTAAAAAAAAGTCGGAGTCGGCGGATATTTTGACGACTCCGACTCCACAGCCCTGGTTAAAATGTATTTATTTATACTGGATCAAACAAACATTTTTAATTTCTCTGCTCTGTTTCATATATAATAGAGGAAAAATACGGCGACAGTCAAAAAATGACCCACAAGATTTTTACATTTTTGGACTCAGGAGATCTTAAAACATCGAGAAATGCAAAAAACTCGGGGAATGGGGTATTTTCTATATGTATGGATGTTAGTGTGTGGAGGCACGATTTTGTTCATCCTGTTTGAAGTTTAATAACTCCTGTACGTTTTGTCAAAAATTTTTAAAATTTTATTGGGTGGTTTGTTTATTAGGATGATTGACGCTGTTTAAATTTTGATGATCAAAGGTCAAGGGGTGAAGAAATAATGGGAGTCGTGTGGCGTATCTCGAGTAGTGTCAAATTTAATGACGATTTTACTCGTTATTAGCATTAACAATTTTTTTTTTATAAAACTCATCCCTATCCTTAATACCCTTAAAATTTTTCCATTTTATAATAATTAAAAATATAAAAAGTTTTTAAAATAAAATATCTTAACAGATGGTGCCGTCAAATACTCCGGAAAATCAAATACTCGTTGCTATATTATTTTTTAGATAAAACTTTACAGCTGCTTTAATTAAATGCCAAAGAGGTGGGGAAATAGAGTGGATCATATGTCATATCTCGAGTAGGATCGGGCTCAATGAAGATTTTTTTCGTTATTAGCATTTACAATATTTTATATTGATAAAACTCATCTCTGCCTGCAAAATTAAGCTTTTTTTCCACTTTATAATAATTAATAACATTACAATTTTTCTAAAATATCATAACAGCCACTACAATATTGTTGATGGAAAAGTTTCACAACTCGCTGCTGGATTTTTAATACGTTGCGACTATATTAATATTATATTTCTTAACCATAACATTATTCTCTTAACATTTGTTTTTTATTTGTTGGAAAATTAATCTTCTTGTTCAACCTTTTTACTTTATATTTTCTATACTTGTTATCTTGCTTTTGTAATTTCTTTTCAATACTTATCTTCAATTTCCATGTTTAAATTTTTATTTATAATATACATAAAATTGTCTATATGTATAAATAAGAAAATTTGTTTGTTCGCTATGCACTCCTAGGCCGTTCGACCAATTGTTTCGAAGCGCAGCAGTTCCGTTAACATAAATGCTAGCTTAGATAACGTCCTATATATTAGCCCAAAATATTTATTGGATTTCTATATATCAATTGATTTCTGTCTACATTGGATTTGCTGTGTTTACATGTAGCGCCATCTATTAGCAAAAAATTAAAAATTAATAAAGTAAATATAATTCATACAAAAATGGATATAATTTAAAATATATATATTATTTTCACTTAATTACTGCGACAATGGTATAACGCAAAGTAGATGCCCATACCATCACTACCACAAGTAAACATTTAGCACTTACCTGAGTTAAGTGCAAAGAGTTACACTGTGAAGATTATATAAGTATTTAATTTTCCATGTGTAACAAACCACTCGGGTACTTTTTTCATTTCTGAAAAACCGGTAGTTTGTCGTGGGTTCACACATCACCAGCAGGCTACCCACGTGGGGTTTTCTAAGTTTTCTTCACCTAAATAGGGTTAGTTACCGTTAGAAAGTCTTCCAAAGAGGCATTCTCTCAGCAGATCGTGTACGTTTGGCGTTGCTGTAACCAAATAAATTAAACTAATTCTAATAATTATCTTAAAAAAACTCACTGCTTACGAGTTTATGAGCATTCTGATGGACTAATGTTCTTAAAATGGGTTTTACCAAATAGATTTTTGTAGTTTACGATTAACAACAGGGAGTTTATCGATTACTACTACAGGCACTTCATAAACCCCGGAATTATTTTATAAACCTTTAAAAACATATTAATTGTTTTAAGTAAATAACCGAACTTTTTATATGGTTTTCGTTTTAATGTTTTTGTTCTTATAAATATATTTTGCCCGGGCAACACCGGGATTATCTGGTAGTTTTTAATATTTTTGGTATTCTTTTTGGTTAGACTTTCCGAAATCGATTAGAAAGTTTTAACATTTTTAATATTTCATTGTATAACTGATGTGTTTTGAAATATTCTTTAAGTTTTCGTGTATTCTATTTTCGAGTACAGTTATTCCGACTTGCTAAACAACGAAGCTGGCTTTAACACGAAGCCGGGCCCTTTTAAACTGTTCGTTTGGACAGTTTCACTTAGCCAACACTAAAGTGGTACAACGGCTTTAATTTTGTTCTTTATGAACAAGGATTTCATTTCTCATCTTTGTTAGTTTATTTTTTCGAAGGAAGAATGAGATCGCAATCCGAGTTGTTTATATTAAAAATCGTAATAACTGAGAAAATTTTTACTGTACAGAGTACCAATTGATATTAAAAATATAATATGCTTAATAAAAATATATATACTTTTTAATATGAATCATTAGGAAATTAAATAATATATATATACAACCTTTAGATATAGAATATTAGGATTAATGCACAGTTGTTCAAGATAATTATTTTCACTGGAATATCAAACATTGTCAACATTAATTGATAAATTACTGTAAACAACTGTCAGCTCTCGCAAAAAACAGATAAATTTAATTGATAAACTTAAAAAATATATATATTATATTCACTAATTAATAATCTGAAATTGTTTAATTTTTTTTATCATATTTTTATGATTTGGTATTTGTAACATATATCTTTATTGAAGTGCTTAAAGGTAAGTTATCATTTTTCAATTATTTATATTTTTTTGGTTTTTTTTAATTTTCTACAAAAATATAACAGATAGAGTGTACAGTAAAATCATCTTCGTAACATATATAAATTAATAAATACTTGTATATAAATATTATTGTATTATTAACTTAATACAATTAGTTACTTTATCTAAAGCACGCATTTCTTTCTGTGTTGTAATGTACAGATCTTGTATGTCTAAATAATAACAATTAGTCATTATAATTGTATTCTTAAATTTATAAAATCTTTTTTAAATTCCAGTCCAAACCGTTGTGCTACACAACTGCGCTATTTGTGATGATATGATGTTACTATTATATATTTTTTATCTCTTTCTATTTTTTTTTATACGTTTCACTTTTATTTGAATGAAGTATGTTTTTCGCAATAAGCACCATAATGCTACTATACTACAGATTGTTACAAAAAAATTGGCAATAAATTTACGTAAGGAAAACTTGCTTATAAAATGAAATTATTTTAAACAATAAAAGAAGATTTAAGCAACTACAATAAATATATTTAATTACTAAAATATTTATATATATAATAATAATATATTTAATAACTATAATATTTTTAAAATGTTAATTATATTATTTTTTTCTTTTAAACTTTATTACATCTAAATATTTTATTAGAATGTTGTTACAAATTTCAAATTACTTCTTATTAGTAAAATAACGGTTTCCTCAGTATTGTATACAGTATTTTTTTAGCATATTGTATTTGATTAAATGTAATAGAAATAGCAAAACTTTATAAAATACAACACAATAAAGAAATACTGTACTGTTAAATTTACATCATAATTATAATTAAGTTCACACAAAATTTATTTAAATTATATATTTAAGCAAAAACTACAAATTATATACAGTAGAGTTTTGATTTATACAGTCATGTTATAAGCGATTTTGAAATAATGCAATTTTATAAAATAAATAAATCTTATTATTTATTAAAATTAAAATATATCTCTTTTAAGTTTAAGCAAAATAAAATTTATGTATATATATTTTTATTTTTATAAACAAATAACTTTTAGATAAACTTTTTAAGAAAATTACTTTTATTTTACAGTAATACTATATTTAAATTTTCCCTGAAAATTTATTAATAAAAGTTTTAATTTTTAAATTTATCTTTGCGAAATAAACCGAAAAATAACACATTAATACTTGTTTGCTCTATTCACGGAATTTCTCTTAGCAAATTCTAATGTATTGCTATGAAATAAGTAAATTTCATCTGCGCAAACCATTATTTATGCGCTCTTTAAGAAAAATACATGAATAAATCGTGATTGTGTTGTATTCTTAAAAATTAACTTACATTCTGCCGAAATATAGGAAATCATCCTTAATTCGAACTCGGATAGTACGAAATCCCGTTAGTTCGTAACTGTATTATTTTTCCCGGCTGTTGCGATTATTTCGTCCCTTCAAATTTCGAACTAAAGAGGATTTCCTGTATGTCAAATGTAGCCTTCAATAAATATATAGAATGTAGTTTAAATTTTAATAATAAAAAATAGCACAATTGTATATTATAAATTAACTAGCAGATAAGCCCAACGTTGCCCGGACAAAAAATAACAACAAACATTAAGATTATTAGATTATTTTGCACTCTATTTCTTCTATTATACTATTTTATAGTATAGTATTTGATTTATATAACTAAAAACAAAGTTATCTTACGTCAGGGTTTATCACATATAATTTTTCAAATGTTAACTCTAAGAAACTGCCCGACCAAAAGTAATAGTTGACCTCCTTCCGAAAGAGAGGACGTGTCAATGACTACTACTTAATATTGGTCTACTATTAACATTTGAAAAATAATCCGTATTGGGCGGATTGTGATGGCCCAGCACATGATCGAAGTTGCTAACCTTAACGTCTGAGACTTCGTATGATTTGTTTAAATACAAAAAAAATCTTGTAAAATGCGAGAATAATTGATTTTATGTGAAAATAAAGCGTTTATGCTTTTGCAACAGATTGTATAAACTACTTGGGAAGTATGTTCTCGTAAATATCTCATTTAGAAAAAAATTATTAAAAATGGTTTGGGCACATGAGCGATCTGCATTCCGGGAAGACTGGACCTTATTTAGGTGCTACTAACATGAAGAAATTCAGGAAAACTCTACGTAACCAACTCGTTGGCCATGCCCGAACCCACGACCGACTTTTTAGTGTTCCGTGCTTTTATCCACTCGGCTACTAGAGGGTACTTATTATTCTTAGAAATTACCTTTTAGAAATGAAAAAACCGTGTTGTTAAATGTGAAAAATTAAATTCATATACATATATTCACTATAGACTTTTCACAGAGTAATACATTCGATTCCACGCAAGCGAGTGCTATGTGCTACCTGTCGCAGTAATGATATAGCGTGTCTAATTCGCGCTATATCATTGTATTAATTAAGTGAATATAATATACAGTATATATTTTTAAGTTATATCCATTTTAAGAATTAATTTTAGTTTATTGTTTTATTAAAACTTTTGACAATAGATGAAGCCAGAAAACCGAATTTAAATAGAAATTAATTTATTTATAAAAATCCAATCGATATTTTGGGGTGATATTTATGACATTAACTAAGTTTGAAGTATGTTAACGTAGTGCCGAGTTTCGTAGCAATTGGCCTAGTTGTGCATAACGAACGAACAAACAAACAAACATCCTCATTTGCATATATATATAAGACATGATTATAATTTAAATTTAAATAAATATTTTTATTTTTCAGAATGAATTCAAGTATCTTCGTCTTTTTACTTATTGGATGTGTTGTGGCAGGTAAGTTCTTCAAATCTATTAAATTTATTAACTTCGCATTAGTAGTGAAACAAGGTCCCTCAAGCAAAATATGGTAAAGGGCCCTAGCCCTTAATGCTTGTTTAGGCCGGATGGCCGAGCGGTCAAGGTGGCAGCCTACTGCTCTGAAAAACTCGGGATCCGGACAAGGCCCCGTCACTCACCACTCACCTCTGCCGCTCCATTGTGGGCATCTCCGAACCTATAATTGGCTTGCTAAAAGAGGCCCGCTTAGTGCACACAGGGCGGAAAGAGTTTAAAAAAATACTTTCTAAGTTTGCTTACGATCTTATCGCAGAAAAACGAAAATTTAGACAGGAAAAATATTCAAAATCGTTGAAATTTAGGAATACAGTGGGTGTAAGTTAACGAACATAATCCGTTCCAAAACTTTGTTCGCTATCCGAATTGTTTGTTAACCGATTATCGATTTACCATAGGTTTTTATGGGAATTTGATTAATTCGTTCTGGAGACCCCCAAAAATAAAAAAATATATACTTTCTTACTACATTTATTTAGCGGCCGAATGGCAGCCTACCACTCTGGGGGACCCGGGCTCGAGTCCGAACGGGTCGAAAAAACCCCAGGAATTTTTCGGGGGTGGTCCGTTCAGATATGTCGGATCCCGTCCCTCACCACCCGGCAGCCCCATTGTGGGCCTGGCCGAACCCATAATGGGCTTGCAAAAAGAGGTTCTCTTAGAGCCCAAAGGACGGAACCTGGTTTGAATGCCATTCTAAGACTGTCGTTCTGACATCCTCTAACTTCTTCAAAAGATCTTTAATAGCAGATATCGGCATTAATCCTCAGAAGAAAACATATCTTGCCGAATTTCTTGGTGTTCCTCATTCAAGAGTTATTGGCGTTCTTCTGTCGTCAGATTAGTTTCAGGTTCCATTATGAGCCATTCAGCGTTCTTTAATTCTCAGATATGATTTTTGTTACACTTTTAGCTGCTTGAGTCTTCTTGATTATAGAGTATCTTTCTTAGATAAGATTGAACTGCAGCCTACTGTAGACCTGTTCAAGCCATACTGCCCAGCAACATCAGACATCTGCCTACTCTCTACCTTTGCTATTATACTCTCGCCTTTCGAAAATAAAAACCAACGTAAAACTTAACGAGTGCCCGCCCAACAGTCTCGCGAATACTATAAAAGAATTGTTTCTGTCAGAAAAACAAAAGGCTGGAATTACATGGGAGGGTTTCAAAGTTCGGAGGAATACTATCCGATCAGTATACACAGCGTTGAGCGTCGATGTCGACTTCTCCCGCGCTCCGAAAAGCTTCGAATTGTTGCCTGAAGAGAAGGGAAGACGAATCTGTACTCATTATTTTACGTCGCTTCTTCTTGTGTTTGTTCTGTGAGGTGTTCGTTCTCCGAACATAAAAAATCTTTCGAGAAAGTGTTCGCGATTTGTTCGTTAACCGATCACTCACTGTATCGAATACTTTCGTACCCGAATTACGATTACGCCATTCCGAATACTTTTACGCAATAGTTCGTCTAATTGGCATTAATAGTTAGATCGGATAACGATATAGCATATAAATGAAAATATATTGGCGTATTATCGTATAAATAAAGTCTTCTGGCTTTGCCAACCGCCGTAGTTCGAATGATAACGTCCTACGCCATCTTTACGAAGACATTTGCTAAACGACCTTCTTATTATTCTAATTTTTACCGTTCTGCTTTATGCGGTGGCAAAAATTGAAATTTTTCAACTTAATTAGCATCACTTAGGATAGAATAAACATTAAAATTCGAGTTGGAGAAGTTGAGAGAAACATAAATCGGTGTCGGGAGCAACTTGCAGAAAATTTGAGTTAAGAAATACAAGTTGGGCACGTTAAATCCCTATACTACTCCATTGAAACTTACCAAGTGCTTCGTTTTCTTTGTGTTAAAGAAATATTCGAGTTACAAACGTTTGAGTTAGAGAAGATTTTCTGCATGTATATTTGACGTTAGTGACATTTTTATATGATTATTATAATTCTCTTTGTATTGCTTTAATAAACTGACTTAATTATACATTAATTTAATGATAAAGTTTAATTTTAACAAACCTTACTTTATAAAGTTCGTGACTAAGTTCAGTGACTGATATAAGAGGAGGTTTACAAGGATTTAAGCCCTCCTCGTTGACAAAAAAAAATAAAATTTATTTGTTCAATCTTTAAAACACATGTTTAAAGATTGCACATGTTTAAAATACATTAATTATTCAGATATTTTTAATTTTTGAGTTAGTATAGACTTTGGATACACTTCTGGATCCGCTATTGACTAAACTAAGATAGCATTTATAATTTTAAGCTATAAAATCATATTGTTTTCAGCTGGTTAATAGATGATTTACTTCTAATTAGATGTTACTGTATTTATATCTAATATTAACATTATTTATCTACACAGATATAACAGAAGAAGATGGAAATGCGTATGTTGACAAAATACTCAGATCGTTAAAAGATTATTCTGATTTAATATCAATGCCTATGCAAGACCGTGATATTCATCTACTTAAATTACCTTTTGCTAAAGAAGTTGCCATTGAAGTTCGTTTAAGAAATGGCGAACTGAACGGTTTATACAATATTAAAAGAATAAACGATGTAGTCGTGAATAGCAATTCCGATTCTGGTTCAATCAAAGCGAATTTAGATTTAGAAGCAGTTCGTGTAAATTATAATACTACCTTTAAAATGTTTAAAAAAGAAACGAACTTTAATTTATCTGCTATTATGGATAATGGAAATGTTATTTTGGATCTTCGAGTAAACAAAGAGAACAATATAGTATCGATTAACGAATTTATTTTGGAAAAATTATCAGGTTTAAAAGTACATATCGATGTTATCGGAAACATATTTCAATGGATCGATAATGTTGTTAAATCGGCTCTTGTGAACTCACTCACGCGTGATCTTACAGACATTGCTACCGAAAAATTAAGAAGTGCTTTTGAATGTGAAATTAATAAACGACCATTTGAAACAGCATAAAACAATTTTATAAATAATGCAATAATGTTTACATATAAATTTCAATTACTAAAATGTTGTATAACAATAAAAACATATCCAAGTAATAAAATAAGTATTTTAAAGTAAACTATCCTTGTCTTTCTCTGTTAGAAAGAAACGATGAGAAATATTTTCATAACAGATTTAAATATTAAAATTAGTATTTCTGTATAATTTTTCAGTGTGGACGTATATGTCATATAGAATTTAATTGATAGATTACATTCAATTTAACTACGAGTGTATTTATTTTTACGATCCGGGGATAATCAAAAGTACCGAGCACCTCAACACGTGTAGATAAAAATGGAAAGGCCACCCTGTGTTTGTTTTTGGACTCTAATTTTGCTTCCAGCATGATCCGACTCGCTCGGAGCTTTCGATTTGAGAAAAGATTTGCCTTCTTTGGGATTCGAAAAATTTTGCTCCGGGTCCAGGTTGAAATTATACTGTATAATTTATTAAAATGTTTGATTAATTTTTAACTGTTTAATAAATTATTAGGTAGATCTGTGAGTTAAATTCAACCTCGAACTATTTGCCAAACTCAATTTTTCGCAAAACTGTCAAAATCTTGACTATCACAAGTGCTGAGCAAGTAGAGCACCTTAAAAATGCAATATCTATATAGTCCAATTCCATTATTACGTTATCAGTTTATACGAAATTCGCATTAGGCTGGATTAACTGCTGGTTTTGCAATCCAAAATACGGGTTTCGGTAACAAATTAGCCCGAAAAAACTGAAGAAAGTACAGTATCACATGGTAATGGAATATGTAGTGACGTCAGTTGAATGACAACATACATGCGAAGACATGATAAGCTTCATCCGATTAGCTAAAGATAAGGTTGCCAAGCCAAGGCGACCAGCAAAAGTCAAACTAAACTAACGGAGTAGTTGCTATAACAACAGTTAATGGGCAAACACGAACGAATTTTTTCAAAAAGTTCAGGCCTGGCACTCGATTCACCCTCTTTTTTCTTTTTAGTTTATATAACGCCGTAAACGTTAGGTCATTTTCCGGTTATCGTAAGAGTAAATATTACAGACAATAGTAATGTGAATCCAGCTCTCGGTAACGCGCGCGGTGGACCCCTGTCATCCAGGCATGATGTTCTATAACTTTTAGTTTATGTTTCGTTTTCTATACGGAGTGTTCGATTTTCTGTTGTATTTTTGATTATTGTAAGTCATTTAACAGTGAAAGAAATTAACGATTTCGTTTGATAGGTTTCTCAATTTGTTATGAGATTTATCACTACACAAATTTAAGCGTTTTATAATTAATAAACTCTTTGTTTTATTGTATGCTTTTATAACAGTAAAAACAATGGCGGAAAGTAAAAGAAAGAAAAAAAAAACACAAATTTGAGTACACTGCTGGATAAGCTGCTGACATGGTTTGATGAAGTTGAAATTAAGATCTTCAGGATAAAATGTCGTTTGGCTGTGAGGAAAGTAATGCAGGAGAAGTTGATCATATTTTTGAAAGTGACCATGGTACAGCCTCAGAGCAAGAAGCTGATAACAACGAAGATAAAACTGGAGAAAATGTGAGCGGCTTCAAAATGAAAACTTTTATCTGGGGAAAGATTGTTATACTAAATGGCAGAAGAGGAAACCACCTACAAATGTTAGAACAAGGTCATGTAACATTATAACTTATTTACTGGGTCCAAAAGAGGAAGCTCGTCATGCAAAAAAGCGAAATTGATTTTTGTGTGTATGTGTGTGGGTGTGTGTGTGTTTTAATGAAAATATTTTGAAAATTAATTGTTGACTTATTTGATTAATTTGTTGAAAATTATTGTTACTTGTACCAATATCTATATTGAAAAGATAAGTGAAAATTTTAATCCTAACGTCCCTTTCGCGGGAACTGACATCACAGAAATCGAAGCTTTTGTTGGCTTGCTCCATTTGATTGGAAGCATCAGATGCACAATAAAAAATTTGGGTAAATTGTAGGACAATCCAAAGGGGAATAGACTAGAATCCTTTATTTTTGTATCAATGAAAAAAGATTTAGGTTTCTATTACAATGCGTTAAGATTTAACAACATTCACGACAGACAGGACAGGAAAACTATTGACAAATAGAGTCCGACCAGGGAAATACATGAGTTTTTTTATAAATTTTTAGAAGTATTTCATGTTAGACGTCCGTGTTTAACAACTCCTCAACGATAGTGCTTGCGAGAAGAGCGCTAGATCTGGTCCTGTTATTTTAAAATTACAGTAGACCCCTATAACACTATAGATAATTCCGTGTTATATGAATTCCATGTTGTACGAGTCACTTAGATTTTACAAATACGTGAGCCGTTCACATCCCGGTACAATTATTTGTAAAATCTAAGTGACTCGTACAACATGGAATTCATATAACGCGAAATTATCTACAATGTTATGGGGGTCTACTGTAATATCCCTGTTTTTTTTAGTTTTTTTCTTTTTGTTCTTTCTCCGTGAGTCCACTGCTTTGTGATTTGTCTATAACCAGGGTGGCCAAGCTCCTTGATAGTCCGAGCCATTTTTCAAAATTTGAAATTTTTCGCGAGCCGCAATTAAATACATATTAAAAAGGTATGCAAAAAATTCCAGATTATAACATTATATTCGTAGCAAGAGTGATACAAATTGTTTCCTCCAGAGCACAATGTCAACTGTCCATTGCANGGGATAAATTTAACACGATTCCAATACTTTTCCGTTTTATATACATAACAAGTTGGTAAGTAAAAAAAAGTCGGAGTCGGCGGATATTTTGACGACTCCGACTCCACAGCCCTGGTTAAAATGTATTTATTTATACTGGATCAAACAAACATTTTTAATTTCTCTGCTCTGTTTCATATATAATAGAGGAAAAATACGGCGACAGTCAAAAAATGACCCACAAGATTTTTACATTTTTGGACTCAGGAGATCTTAAAACATCGAGAAATGCAAAAAACTCGGGGAATGGGGTATTTTCTATATGTATGGATGTTAGTGTGTGGAGGCACGATTTTGTTCATCCTGTTTGAAGTTTAATAACTCCTGTACGTTTTGTCAAAAATTTTTAAAATTTTATTGGGTGGTTTGTTTATTAGGATGATTGACGCTGTTTAAATTTTGATGATCAAAGGTCAAGGGGTGAAGAAATAATGGGAGTCGTGTGGCGTATCTCGAGTAGTGTCAAATTTAATGACGATTTTACTCGTTATTAGCATTAACAATTTTTTTTTTATAAAACTCATCCCTATCCTTAATACCCTTAAAATTAAGATTTTTCCATTTTATAATAATTAAAAATATAAAAAGTTTTTAAAATAAAATATCTTAACAGATGGTGCCGTCAAATACTCCGGAAAATCAAATACTCGTTGCTATATTATTTTTTAGATAAAACTTTACAGCTGCTTTAATTAAATGCCAAAGAGATGGGGAAATAGAGTGGATCATATGTCATATCTCGAGTAGGATCGGGCTCAATGAAGATTTTTTTCGTTATTAGCATTTACAATATTTTATATTGATAAAACTCATCTCTGCCTGCAAAATTAAGCTTTTTTTCCACTTTATAATAATTAATAACATTACAATTTTTCTAAAATATCATAACAGCCACTACAATATTGTTGATGGAAAAGTTTCACAACTCGCTGCTGGATTTTTAATACGTTGCGACTATATTAATATTATATTTCTTAACCATAACATTATTCTCTTAACATTTGTTTTTTATTTGTTGGAAAATTAATCTTCTTGTTCAACCTTTTTACTTTATATTTTCTATACTTGTTATCTTGCTTTTGTAATTTCTTTTCAATACTTATCTTCAATTTCCATGTTTAAATTTTTATTTATAATATACATAAAATTGTCTATATGTATAAATAAGAAAATTTGTTTGTTCGCTATGCACTCCTAGGCCGTTCGACCAATTGTTTCGAAGCGCAGCAGTTCCGTTAACATAAATGCTAGCTTAGATAACGTCCTATATATCAGCCCAAAATATTTATTGGATTTCAATATATCAATTGATTTCTGTCTACATTGGATTTGCTGTGTTTACATGTAGCGCCATCTATTAGCAAAAAATTAAAAATTAATAAAGTAAATATAATTCATACAAAAATGGATATAATTTAAAATATATATATTATTTTCACTTAATTACTGCGACAATGGTATAACGCAAAGTAGATGCCCATACCATCACTACCACAAGTAAACATTTAGCACTTACCTGAGTTAAGTGCAAAGAGTTACACTGTGAAGATTATATAAGTATTTAATTTTCCATGTGTAACAAACCACTCGGGTACTTTTTTCATTTCTGAAAAACCGGTAGTTTGTCGTGGGTTCACACATCACCAGCAGGCTACCCACGTGGGGTTTTCTAAGTTTTCTTCACCTAAATAGGGTTAGTTACCGTTAGAAAGTCTTCCAAAGAGGCATTCTCTCAGCAGATCGTGTACGTTTGGCGTTGCTGTAACCAAATAAATTAAACTAATTCTAATAATTATCTTAAAAAAACTCACTACTTACGAGTTTATGAGCATTCTGATGGACTAATGTTCTTAAAATGGGTTTTACCAAATAGATTTTTGTAGTTTACGATTAACAACAGGGAGTTTATCGATTACTACTACAGGCACTTCATAAACCCCGGAATTATTTTATAAACCTTTAAAAACATATTAATTGTTTTAAGTAAATAACCGAACTTTTTATATGGTTTTCGTTTTAATGTTTTTGTTCTTATAAATATATTTTGCCCGGGCAACACCGGGATTATCTGGTAGTTTTTAATATTTTTGGTATTCTTTTTGGTTAGACTTTCCGAAATCGATTAGAAAGTTTTAACATTTTTAATATTTCATTGTATAACTGATGTGTTTTGAAATATTCTTTAAGTTTTCGTGTATTCTATTTTCGAGTACAGTTATTCCGACTTGCTAAACAACGAAGCTGGCTTTAACACGAAGCCGGGCCCTTTTAAACTGTTCGCTTGGACAGTTTCACTTAGCCAACACTTAAGTAGTACAACGGCTTTAATTTTGTTCATTATGAACAAGGATTTCATTTCTCATCTTTGTTAGTTTATTTTTTCGAAGGAAGAATGAGATCGCAATCCGAGTTGTTTATATTAAAAATCGTAATAACTGAGAAAATTTTTACTGTACAGAGTACCAATTGATATTAAAAATATAATATGCTTAATAAAAATATATATACTTTTTAATATGAATCATTAGGAAATTAAATAATATATATATACAACCTTTAGATATAGAATATTAGGATTAATGCACAGTTGTTCAAGATAATTATTTTCACTGGAATATCAAACATTGTCAACATTAATTGATAAATTACTGTAAACAACTGTCAGCTCTCGCAAAAAACAGATAAATTTAATTGATAAACTTAAAAAATATATATATTATATTCACTAATTAATAATCTGAAATTGTTTAATTTTTTTTATCATATTTTTATGATTTGGTATTTGTAACATATATCTTTATTGAAGTGCTTAAAGGTAAGTTATCATTTTTCAATTATTTATATTTTTTTGGTTTTTTTTAATTTTCTACAAAAATATAACAGATAGAGTGTACAGTAAAATCATCTTCGTAACATATATAAATTAATAAATACTTGTATATAAATATTATTGTATTATTAACTTAATACAATTAGTTACTTTATCTAAAGCACGCATTTCTTTCTGTGTTGTAATGTACAGATCTTGTATGTCTAAATAATAACAATTAGTCATTATAATTGTATTCTTAAATTTATAAAATCTTTTTTAAATTCCAGTCCAAACCGTTGTGCTACACAACTGCGCTATTTGTGATGATATGATGTTACTATTATATATTTTTTATCTCTTTCTATTTTTTTTTATACGTTTCACTTTTATTTGAATGAAGTATGTTTTTCGCAATAAGCACCATAATGCTACTATACTACAGATTGTTACAAAAAAATTGGCAATAAATTTACGTAAGGAAAACTTGCTTATAAAATGAAATTATTTTAAACAATAAAAGAAGATTTAAGCAACTACAATAAATATATTTAATTACTAAAATATTTATATATATAATAATAATATATTTAATAACTATAATATTTTTAAAATGTTAATTATATTATTTTTTTCTTTTAAACTTTATTACATCTAAATATTTTATTAGAATGTTGTTACAAATTTCAAATTACTTCTTATTAGTAAAATAACGGTTTCCTCAGTATTGTATACAGTATTTTTTTAGCATATTGTATTTGATTAAATGTAATAGAAATAGCAAAACTTTATAAAATACAACACAATAAAGAAATACTGTACTGTTAAATTTACATCATAATTATAATTAAGTTCACACAAAATTTATTTAAATTATATATTTAAGCAAAAACTACAAATTATATACAGTAGAGTTTTGATTTATACAGTCATGTTATAAGCGATTTTGAAATAATGCAATTTTATAAAATAAATAAATCTTATTATTTATTAAAATTAAAATATATCTCTTTTAAGTTTAAGCAAAATAAAATTTATGTATATATATTTTTATTTTTATAAACAAATAACTTTTAGATAAACTTTTTAAGAAAATTACTTTTATTTTACAGTAATACTATATTTAAATTTTCCCTGAAAATTTATTAATAAAAGTTTTAATTTTTAAATTTATCTTTGCGAAATAAACCGAAAAATAACACATTAATACTTGTTTGCTCTATTCACGGAATTTCTCTTAGCAAATTCTAATGTATTGCTATGAAATAAGTAAATTTCATCTGCGCAAACCATTATTTATGCGCTCTTTAAGAAAAATACATGAATAAATCGTGATTGTGTTGTATTCTTAAAAATTAACTTACATTCTGCCGAAATATAGGAAATCATCCTTAATTCGAACTCGGATAGTACGAAATCCCGTTAGTTCGTAACTGTATTATTTTTCCCGGCTGTTGCGATTATTTCGTCCCTTTAAATTTCGAACTAAAGAGGATTTCCTATATGTCAAATGTAGCCTTCAATAAATATATAGAATGTAGTTTAAATTTTAATAATGAAAAATAGCACAATTCTATATTATAAATTAATTAGCAGATAAGCCCAACGTTTCCCGGACAAAAACTAACAACAAATATTAAGATTATTAGATTATTTTGCACTTCTAATTCCTCTATTATACTATTTTATAGTATAGTATTTGATTTATGTAACTAAAAACAACGTTATCTTACGTCAGGGTTTATCACATATAATTATTCAAATGTTAACTCTAAGAAACTGCCCGACCAAAAGTAATAGTTGACCTCCTTCCGAAAGAGAGGACGTGTCAATGACTACTACTTAATATTGGTCTACTATTAACATTTGAAAAATAATCCGTATTGGGCGGATTGTGATGGCCCAGCACATGATCGAAGTTGCTAACCTTAACGTCTGAGACTTCGTATGATTTGTTTAAATACAAAAAAAATCTTGTAAAATGCGAGAATAATTGATTTTATGTGAAAATAAAGCGTTTATGCTTTTGCAACAGATTGTATAAACTACTTGGGAAGTATGTTCTCGTAAATATCTCATTTAGAAAAAAATTATTAAAAATGGTTTGGGCACATGAGCGATCTGCATTCCGGGAAGACTGGACCTTATTTAGGTGCTACTAACATGAAGAAATTCAGGAAAACTCTACGTAACCAACTCGTTGGCCATGCCCGAAGCCACGACCGACTTTTTAGTGTTCCGTGCTTTTATCCACTCGGCTACTAGAGGGTACTTATTATTCTTAGAAATTACCTTTTAGAAATGAAAAAACCGTGTTGTTAAATGTGAAAAATTAAATTCATATACATATATTCACTATAGACTTTTCACAGAGTAATACATTCGATTCCACGCAAGCGAGTGCTATGTGCTACCTGTCGCAGTAATGATATAGCGTGTCTAATTCGCGCTATATCATTGTATTAATTAAGTGAATATAATATACAGTATATATTTTTAAGTTATATCCATTTTAAGAATTAATTTTAGTTTATTGTTTTATTAAAACTTTTGACAATAGATGAAGCCAGAAAACCGAATTTAAATAGAAATTAATTTATTTATAAAAATCCAATCGATATTTTGGGGTGATATTTATGACATTAACTAAGTTTGAAGTATGTTAACGTAGTGCCGAGTTTCGTAGCAATTGGCCTAGTTGTGCATAACGAACGAACAAACAAACAAACATCCTCATTTGCATATATATATAAGACATGATTATAATTTAAATTTAAATAAATATTTTTATTTTTCAGAATGAATTCAAGTATCTTCGTCTTTTTACTTATTGGATGTGTTGTGGCAGGTAAGTTCTTCAAATCTATTAAATTTATTAACTTCGCATTAGTAGTGAAACAAGGTCCCTCAAGCAAAATATGGTAAAGGGCCCTAGCCCTTAATGCTTGTTTAGGCCGGATGGCCGAGCGGTCAAGGTGGTAGCCTACTGCTCTGAAAAACTCGGGATCCGGACAAGGCCCCGTCACTCACCACTCACCTCTGCCGCTCCATTGTGGGCATCTCCGAACCTATAATTGGCTTGCTAAAAGAGGCCCGCTTAGTGCACACAGGGCGGAAAGAGTTTAAAAAAATACTTTCTAAGTTTGCTTACGATCTTATCGCAGAAAAACGAAAATTTAGACAGGAAAAATATTCAAAATCGTTGAAATTTAGGAATACAGTGGGTGTAAGTTAACGAACATAATCCGTTCCAAAACTTTGTTCGCTATCCGAATTGTTTGTTAACCGATTATCGATTTACCATAGGTTTTTATGGGAATTTGATTAATTCGTTCTGGAGACCCCCAAAAATAAAAAAATATATACTTTCTTACTACATTTATTTAGCGGCCGAATGGCAGCCTACCACTCTGGGGGACCCGGGCTCGAGTCCGAACGGGTCGAAAAAACCCCAGGAATTTTTCGGGGGTGGTCCGTTCAGATATGTCGGATCCCGTCCCTCACCACCCGGCAGCCCCATTGTGGGCCTGGCCGAACCCATAATGGGCTTGCAAAAAGAGGTTCCTACACATTAATACTTGTT